AACTATAAATATTAAGAGTGCAGTGAAACAAACAGCTCTGGGGTATAACAGAAATAGCAAAGCAATAAATGCTGCACACTTATATCACACTCTACACTCGACTCTAAAAATAAAACATATACATGTAGGATGCAGCCCTTCCACACGGTAGATGTAAAGTTGAAGCCAGAAGGCTACTAGGCATTTAGAAACTGCAAAATTGTATTTCCTTGGGGTGTCTCTGTGTGATATTAAAATTGGTCTGATGAACTGAAACCTTTTGGATGTGATAAATATGCAAAGAATACATAAATGAGGAAGGAATACTATTTCACAGCGCTGCATATTTGGTACGCACCACTACTGTGTAAACATTTACAGATACTCTACACACCAAAACCCCATCACTAGCCTGACATATAAAGTCTGGGTAGGAGCAATGTTAGCAGGGTCTGTATGTGGAGGTACTTCCAGGACAGTGACATCAACATTTTTAGGGGACTGCGAATTATGCTCTGATGAACTCCTCTGACAATGATGGGGGTGGCAGACCGGAAAACATAGAATTTTGCAAATCCCACCATCCACTCCTTTCCACATGCATAGTGTCCAGAATTGGGTTTCTTTGACAGTCTGGAAAAGTGCGATATGAATTTTTTTTTTTTTTGCACTTTTTCCTATGCACTTTTTCCACTTTAAAGTAATTTGCAGTTGCTCTTGTGTCGTGCAGATGACACTGTGTTGACGCTGGCTTCACAGAGCACTCCACTGTGTCGCACTGTTCTTGTTTATGGAACCCACAGACACGCTGCCCTGCTGCTGAGCTCGTGCATCTATCAGTGCCAAGCTTACACATCCAATGTAGCCTGTCGAGAAGTGGCGCATACCGAACCCCATTGTACCATTTTGTGGACAAGTGTAATTACAGCTACCTGGTGTTATTTTATTTTTTTTACTCGAGTGGGCATGGGGAGGGGGCGGCCATTTGAGGAGAGCTATTTATTTGTCCAAGAGGGCAAGGGGAGGAAATATGGCGATTTTGCAAAATGCAGTAATTAGTCACATGACACTGTCACTTTGCTCCACCGAAATGGTTATTATTGGCAGCATAGTGAGACAGCCAAAGGGAGAAATCCAAACCGAAATACAAACCTAGAACCTTTTTGCAATAAGGCAACTGGGCCAACCTCTGATGCACTCTGCTTTCAATAATCCACTTTTAGTATCAACACATTTAATGAAATGAAATATCTTCTTTTCGAGCAACAATTTTGCTCAGTAATTGGACTTCTATGAGTCATTTAGGAACGGTTGCTATTAGTGTCAAATTTCCCCCATTTTGCTGCATTGCAGAAATAAATAGAATGAAGGTGACAGGTTGAGACAGGGAGAGTAAGGCTATGGAGGATAGAGGAAGCATGAATGTAATAAATGCAGGCCGAAATCAAGAGGAGTTAAAGCCGATTGGGGGGCAAGTCGAAAAACAGCAAAACAGAAAGTGTAGCTATGGAGAAAGAGAATCAGCAAGGGCCCTCATGAGAGCACGAGATGTGTGCAGCATGTCAATACAAATGCTAAGTCACTCAAGGGCTCGCATCCAGCCGCAATCTCTGTTTCGCTTCACAGCCAAACGGTGGAATTTCAAGGGAAGAGATGACACGATAGTGAGATGGCACAAAGGAGATCACATTGCCTCATTTGGCTGAGCTTATCGCATAATGAAGACTCGTTTTAATGGCTTTTCATCAGCCACATCTTTATACACCTTTTATTCTCCCACGCTAGAATTCACTTTCTCACAAATGTTCAGACAACATCGCATCTCTCTTTTTAGCTTTTCAATGTATTTTTCTACCTTCACCCTCCCCAATTTTCTCTTAGCAGCAGAACACAACGTCTGTTCATCATCTATCCCAGCAGGACCAGCAGCGTAACAACTGCAGCATCGATAATTGTTTGCTGCCTCTTCCTCGGGTTCCCTACGGGGATGCTCAGAACACCGTGTATTTATGAGAGTGTAATCTCCCACCCAGGTCCTACTGACACGCCATCTCCTTTCCTTGTGACCGGGCGACCCAAGGCGTGGACTGTTGGAGGGACAGTTGTGAGCTTGCGACATGACAGCTGTGCAAAGAGAAATGACAGGGCGGAAGGGAAGACGAGGAGGAGGAGGAGGCCTCTGCGTTAAGATGCTTTAGAGCAGTGTTTCCCGACCTTTACTACGCTATACATGTGGTAGGTAGATTACATTGGAACAAGCTCACAAAATGACAAAACATGTATTACAGATTTGTATTTCTTTTTTTATGGGTTTTACAGTCTACAAGTAGGTCTGGGCAATAAATTGAAATTTAATCGCGTTTTCAATGTTGGCTCCTCTCGAAAACATTATAATCGAAGAAAAACAATTAGCGTGCCGAACAGCACGCTATATTTTCAAGCGCTGGAGTTTGTGAAAGTACCCTAAATGCACAAGCTGATGGATGGCCTTGTTATGTGATTTTGCCCTGACCTGAGCATGCTTTAAATTGTTTAATGATAACTCTCTTGGAGTTTACTATCAAATTAAACATATAAAGAAGAAGAATAAAAGAATTCCACTCAGTGTATACTTAAGCACAAGACGTGCTTCGTTTTACAAACAAGGCCAGCCTAATGCTTAAATCGATGTCAAATCTCATTGACATGCTAAAGAGAAATTAGCATTGACTTCCAGGAGCAATAAATTCTTCAAATGATGAAATGTGTGCACTCTATTCACTCACGGCATCATACTGCCGTTAAAAGACCAAAACGCACGCAGCGGGAACAGCTGATATTTATTTGTATTTAATGTTCTTTATGATATCATTTTTGTCTATTACTATTTTACTCCGTTACAAATGATTTTCTGGATATTCTATCAAGGTATTATTAAAGTTGAGTTTTCAAGGAATTTTTGTTCTCGTATCAACACACATTTTCACATGGTATGGCACAAACTGATACCTGTGGCCCCGTTCAGCCCAATGCGTCACAAGACTTAAAAATAAAAATACCGGGTAGAACAATTAGAACAAATGAGATAAAATTGAGAAACTGGTACTTTCTGTTAATTGAAATACAGATGATCTTGATTTAATATACTCCCAAATTTCATGACTAAGCATGAAATTTCGGCCTGTTTCATTGAATACAAAATATTTGTATAAGTGTCCCTTGTAGTGGAAAAGCGTTAAATTGTTATGCCTGTCACGGTCATATAAACAGACAACCGAAGCTGCATTATTTGTCATAAATGAATGATAATTTTCAGACCAAAAAGTGACATTGGAAAATTTCCAATGGAACACCTGATGATTTCTCACAGCACATTGTGCCGCAGCACAGCTGTTGGAAATCACTGCACTGGAGTTGCGTCTATTTATAGTATCTCACACGGTTCCAGTGGGATGCATAATTTCTGCAACGTCAGTACACGCATGAACATTTAATGTCCCATGCAATGTTTTGTACTAGAAAGATATGTTGCTTTATGTCACACCGAGTTCAACTTAAGAGTGTCCCTGGGCACAGACATTCACGATCCTGCCTTGGATCTGTGAATTGAATTTGCATTTGGCAAAGTGTCCACTGCATGTGATCGACAGACTAATTGACAACTAAATCAGTGCTGCCTTTCACAAGTGAAAACACAACCAATTATTTGATTCTCTTATTCTCCAATTCAGGACTCAAAACAGCTTCCCCTTGGAAACCCGAAGCCGCATTCCGTGGCACAAGGAGGCGGGGTGAGCAGTGGCTCATTTGCATGACACATTACCACGCACACCCTGAAACTTCCTGCTTTCAAGAGCCGTAAAAAGAGGATGAAAAGTCAAATGCAATATTTGATCCTTGAGGTTATCTGACCAAAGGGAGACATCGGGGCCTGGGAACTGTGTGTGTGTGTGTGTGTGTGTGTGTGTGTGTGTGTGTGTGTGTGTGTGGAATAATAAATACATCTTCTGATCTCCTGTAAAGGCCTCTTTGCTATTCTGTAGATGTTCAAACACAGAAGGAAAACTACAATAACCTGGTGATCTAGCCTGCATTTTTGCAATTTGTACATTGCAATGTGTTTCAAACGCTCAACTGATTTTTGCCAGAAAATGACCTTAATAACTCTAAGTGAGCCGCATTAGTGCTAAAAAGACACTACCAGACAGCAACAATACATAAAAAATACACCAGCTATCAGAGTCCATTCTCCTCTCAAAAATGTTATTTCCATGATCAACATATTCTGCGAAAGAAGAAGAAATAAATGACTATTATCAGCAGTGGTAGAGATGCTGTGATTATATTTGGGCTTACATAAGAACCTAAATACACATGGCAAGCCAAATGTGAATGCTTGTTGTTGAGATCCAGCCAATTTTCGGTGAGAAAAATGTTGAAAAATGACCCAAAACAGTCTTTTGTGAGGAAAAGGCTTGGAACAGGATGGTCATGATTTAAAATTGAAACTAATAACTTCTGCGGAGGTCCTCTTGACCAAGTCACTGAAGTCCCCCCTGAAACTCAGCTCATTGTGTGTGCCCCCTCAATCAAACATCTCACCCTTCAAGCCTGCATGTGTGCTCTGCTTCTCCGTGGCGCGCCACAAAAATATACAACGGAGTGAAAATTGAATTTCCCCTTGAAGGATCATTGATTATTATCGGGATAAAACCAAATGGATTCTTCCTCAGCCCATGGAGCATGTCTCCACAAGGTTTTGTGATGCGAAACAAGTCCTGTTCATGTCCTTGGCCGAGGTAATGATAAAGAATATTTTGGTGGCAAAACAAAGATGAGCCAAAACGCAAATTCTCAGAGGTGGTGTTTGCGATCGCCCTTCTTGATTTTGCTCAGATATAATCTCACAGTTGGGGGGGGAAAATGAACAGATATCAGGATGGACTATGTTGCTTTGCCACTGTTTTCTTCAAATGTTTGTATACATACAGTTGGATGGCGTGTCTCCGTGGTGAGGTGAGGGTGAGCAGGTGAAAGGATACATCCGAACACCACCTGATCTGGAGCCGATGGCCAGGATCTTCTGCACAGGGTCAAAGGCCAAAGCAGTGGGCTGGTAAGGGAATCCATGGCGCACCGTCTGCAAGACAAACGCACAAAACAATGTTTACTGCCTGCTTTTGTGACCTTGTACTGTTCCGTTTTCAGCTGAAGCGGTGCTTTTTAAAAATAAAAGTTCATTTTGTAAAATCTGTGACATTTACTTCAATGAAAAACGATGAATGAATGCCTTCGGGCTGTATGCCATCGCCAGTAATAGCCGACAAAGTGTTTTTACAGACACAGCCCCCTTGTATGTCTGAAAGCATGATTACGAAACCTGCAGGACGTAAGTGTGTGTACCACAAGATTACTTTAAGCTCCAGGAACTCCGTCTTTTCATATCAAAGGATATCGCATGAACATATTTTCATCTACAGACTTCCAAGTTGAAATACAGTGGCTTGCAAAAGTATTGGGCTCCCTTGAACTTTTTGACCTTTTGCCACGTTTCGGGTTTCAAACAAAGATATAAAATCATCAACAAGTAGGAAACAATCGTGAAGCGGGACGAAATTCATACTTTTAAACTAATTTTTTTAGAAAGTAAAAACTGAAAAGTCGGGCATGCGATAATATTCAGCCCATTTACTGTCCGTGCAGCCAACTGACTCCAGATGTTCCCTGATGATTTTGGAATGATCCAATGTTGACCTGAACGATTGATGATGACAAATAGAGTCCACCCGTGTGTTATCGAATCTCATTATAAATGCAACTGCTCTGCAATGGTCTTAGAAGTCTGTTCAAAGAATATTGAGAAACAAACAGCATCATGAAAACCAAGGAACACACCAGGCTGGTCAGGAACAAAGTTGTGGAGCAGCAAGAGGATGCGAAAAGATTTAACAAGCTTGAAACGTCTTGCGGAGCACACACATATTGAAATGGAAAGAGTACCACACAACTGCAGACCTACCAAGACCTAGCCATCCCTCCAAACTAGGGGTGCTAGTTTCAAATGGTCAACGCATCAGCAAGCTCTGAGAAGCCTGATAACAATCCTGGTCATTTGAATCAGGTATTTTGGAATCGGGAGACATATAAAACAGGGTGGATAGAGGATGTTGAGGACCGGACTTGGGCACCCCTGCTCTAAACTTTTAGCCCAAACAAAGAGAGTACTGATCAGAGATGTGACCCCATGATCACTGTGGATTAACTGCAGAGACCCACAGCTAAGGTGGGGAAATCGGTCCATTGGTCAACTATATTAGTCACACACTGCACAAATCTGTTTTTTTTATGGAAGAGTGGCAAGAAAAAAGCCATTTCTCTAAGACGACCATAAAAAGTCCCGTTTGAAGTTTGCCAAGACACAACAAAGATGTGGAAAAAGGAGCTCTGGTCAGATGTAACCAAAATTGAACTTTTGGGCCAAAATGCAAAAAAGTTATGTGAAGCATAAAAGCAAAGCTGGACATCACACGGAATACATCATCCATCGGTGACAGCAGTCGCGTGATTTGGGGTTTCTTTTCTTCAGCAGGGATAGGGAATACAGTTAGAGATGATGGGATGATGGATGGAGCCAAATACGGAGCAATTTTGGAAGAAGCCTGTTTGCGTCTGCAAATGAATCACCGAAAAAGTTCCATCGCCCCATTTTTTTCACCCAATTTGTGTTATCTTTTTTTTACCCAAGTGTAGATTGATTGGAGAGCAAATTGTCCATTGTTGGGATTGTGAGGGGGAATGGTTGTTTATCTCGATGTGAATTGTAATTGGCTGGCGACAAGTCCAGCTTGTACCCTCGCTTCTTGCTCAAATTTGGCAGGAAAAGGCTTTCAACTCACCTGTGAAGCTAATGAGCACAAGCTACAGAAAATTGATGGATGGGAACGGATTCGTATGCTCATGGTGAAACGTGGAAGTACTGAGACTTTTCAATTATATTCACATCATCAAACACTGGTGAGAAAACAAAACTTATTTTACAAACAAGTATTCGCAAGGGAGTTCTGTAATTCCACACAGGTCTCTCACGGGCACACTACTGATTGCGTATGCACATATTTGAAGACAACATTGACAATGAATTCAAATTATGATGAGCTGAATTCTTGATTGAATTGCAAATACAAAAATAAGATTATAAGGTCAGGTACGGTCTCTTCTTAAGACTGCAGTTCAAGACATAACCCGAAACGAAAGGATATATGGTTAAAATTTGATTCTTGACAACCGGCCGCAGAATTGACAAAGTAAAAGACAACTTCTCTACCCCTATCTCTGAATTTGTTTTCCTCTACGCAGCCGTCTTGCATGAGACAGTTCCCACTTTTGCCTTTATGACCGTAATCTACTCCACTCGGATGTGGAGGCATGGACATTACCAGTGTGGAAGTGGTGTACAAAGTGCAAAGTGAGGCAGAACAATTATAATGTTACTGATGCTAAAAACTGATTTTTTTTTTTTTTTTAATCTAGTGAACATAAGTGGAGGTTGTTTGTTTGCGTAGAGCTGCCAGAGTTGTGTAACCCCTCTGCTCAACCTCATCTCCTGGGCCTTTGAGCTTTAATTAAGCATGCACAGGCATGAATTTGGAAAGATAATATGAGTGTCTGTGGGCAAACACGATGAATTCACTCAGTGCTGATCCAAACAGATAGAGGAAAAATGAGAAACAACACAAAGAGCACTACGAGGACCGTTTACGCCAGCGTGAACGCAATGTTTTTGTGGCCTGAATGGAACAGTAAATTCCCATACAAAAGGAAACAGTGCTTTCGACACTCCACATGGACAAAATAAATCTCTTTGCGTACATCAACAATGTTTTTCTTCCGTTTCTACAATGCTTATTCTAATGACAGTTGCAGATGAGCTGGAGCCAATCCCAGCTCACTGGCCATGAAGTGGGGTGCACCTTGGACTGATCGGTGGCCAATTGCAAGACACAGACACAAACAACAACTCACTCCCATGATAACGGGGGGGGGGAAACACCCTGAATCGGTTGCCAGCCAATCGCAAGGCACACAGAGATGAACAACCATCCACAATTTAGAGTGTTCAATCAGCTTGCAATGCATATTTTTGGAATGTGGGAGGAAACCGGAGTACCCGGAGAAAACCCACGCAGGCCCAGGGAGAACATGCAAACTCCACACAGGGAGGCCAGAGCTGGAATTGAACACGGTACTTCTGCACTGTGAAGTCGATGCGCTAACCACTGGACTACCACACACACACACACACACACACACACACACACACACACACACACACTATATATATATTAAAAAAAAAGAGGAAGTCAGAGCATGTAGAACAAAAACTCCAAATGGAAGCCATAATTTGAACCTTCAAAACTCTGCTAACCAACAGTCCACCATCCTGCCACGTACAATCAGTGAGACTGTATTAATGCCACAATTTTCTGTATGTAATTCTTTATAATTAACTATTGTCATTAGCACAAAAATATAATTAGAGTGGAAGCGGGTCACATAGTGTGCGCCGTAAAGTTGTGGACTATTTTTTTCCCCCACAGTTGTCTGGTTGGGTCACTTTCAGCCATGTTGCTCTGTGGGCAGCGGGCCAAAAGCCGCAATGTCTTTTATGTGGCTATGCATAACTTGTGAAACCTCAGCGAATGTTGCCAGACTTGGCCTCAGTGAGCGTCAAAGTACATATCAATGCCACATTTTCATCACATTTTGGGATTGCTGTGCCACCAAGATTTTCAAATCATTTGTATCGGTCTTTTAGCCCAGTGAAGGCATTTTTCTTCCTGTGCAATTTCTGAAGTCATGTTGAGATATTTTTGAAACTATTCTATTATTAGGCAAGTTCACTGTTGCAGGTACAGAGCTGGAATGAGATCGGGTCGATTCATCATTCGTTGAGCATGTTGTCAAGAATCTCTCATCGTGTCTGTTCCTCACTGAAGTGTTCACATTCAAAACAAAGAGCCATGCGCGCGCGCACACAAACACACACACACCAACACTCATCCTCTGGGAGTTTCCACCAGACCCTGTCATGTGCTTTGACCCCACTCGAGTGCACTGTTGCTGGGATACAAACGAACCACCCCCACATATACATACAAAGTACAAGAGAGCCGAGAAGTGCATTTACTCTGATGATTCCGAGAGCAGCTCATACATATTGCAAGGCCGCCAATGTTATCAGGCTGTTTTTAGTCACTGTCTTTCAGTGAATCAGTATTTGTCAAGAGAGTTTGATCCTTCCATCTTCCATCTATTCATGCGCATGCACCAGGGGCCGTGTTCTTTTGCCTCGGAAAAACACTTGCCGGCTGCCGTTTAATAAATATTCAATGCATGTTCAAACTCAGGTTGCTACCCATTATATACACCGGTATATTGATTATGCCCATTTCCGCCACACCCACAGTGGGAAAACAAAACCTAAAAGGAGTCCTTATGTAAAGTGATGCACGTATGGTAGCCAAGACATGCATTTGGAAATGCCGCTGCCGTTCACCTGCAGCAAAGTACCAGTGTGAATGCTGCCAGAGGCTGCATTACATCAACTCTTCTCCGCATCTGGATTCTGCCTCCCTTTTCCGTCATTCTCTTGTATTGGTTGCTCACACAACCTTTAAGCACACACGGCTGATGTTCTGTTCGATAGCCCGACATGTAAATCCTAAACGCCACCGAGTTAAACCACCTCGCATCACCCACCATTCTCTCTATCGCTCTCCAAACAGTGTTGAGCTGCAGAGATGGTCTAGACCTCTGTTTCTATAAATAGAAAGCAGTGCCCATGTCTCCTACTGCCAGCTCGAGCGACAAACATTGAGTGTCATCATCACACCAGCCCCATTTCTTACGTATAAGCATGACACTTGTGTGTATTTATCGACAACAAACGTGCACCATTTTCAAGTTACGGTATTGAGATATTTTAGCAACTACATACCATTAATTATGTGGGTAAAGCCTATACATTATGAAAATCGTTTATTTTTAAATCCCCATGCCCTGACCAAAAGTCCTACAGAAAAAAAAAAAGGCATATCTGAAATTTGAACGTTTTCAAGGTGTTAGAATAGATCAAAAGGA